CTGACGCTCTCATGGAGTCTCCCGAGAGGCAAGGACATGCATACAATGTTGGATGTTGGTGTTCTTAGGGTTCCACTGGCTTCGGTCAAACATCGGTCCCAAAAGGAGCTTGGAAGAGAGCCCAGGAAGGCCCCCAGTTGGCCCTGGACGGTCCCAAGAAATCTCCGAAGGGGCCCTGGATGGCCTGAGAAGGCCCAAAAACAACACCCCAAGATGGCCCCACGACATCCCGGAAAGACAACCCTAACGGCCAAGAGAGCCCCAAGGCGGCTCAAAAGGGCTCCTGGACGGCCCAAGGGATCCCCGAAAGACTCCCAAGTCGGCCCCCCAGGAGCCGTAGGCATCCCCAAGACGGTCCGAATACGTGCATACCATGATAGCCCCTCAAGACGCGGAGACGAGAGGTGTCACGTGCGACGGCCTCCTGATCGGTGCTTGGAATGTCGCCACAAAGAATGGTTCGCTGGAACACCTGGTTGCCGCAAGCATCTGCTGTCGAATATATAACCGCATCGATTGTCCTCCTTCCTCCTCTTGACCGTGAGGGTCAGCGGGCTACTGCGCGTGATCGGACGACTACTTGAGCGTGGCACTGGTTTCTGCCGAGGAACAAAAAGGGGTCGAGTGGCAGGCATGGAAAAGAGGTTACCCGGAGGAAGCACGAGGACGACGATGAGGAGTGAGAGGGACGGCAGCGGGCACTGAGAGGGGGAGGACAAGGCCTCAAGAAGAGGAATCCGTGGGAGCGGCAGAGGGGTACGGAAAGAGGGGGGAGCATTGTCCTCGTTGTCCTCGACTTTGCCTTCGTCCACGTCGCCCTGGTCGTCTTCGTGTCGTCGTCGTCCTCTGCGTCGTCCGACCAAAACCCCTTCCCATCCCAGTGCCCGTCCTGGCCAATGTTCCGGGCCACGTCTGACGCTGGCGACGAGGACCCGTCCTATCCTTTTCCTCCTCCTCCTCCTCCTCCTTCTCCTCTTCCTCCTCCTCCTCCTCCTCCTCCTCCGCAAACGCTCACAAAGCTCCCACAACGACGATGACGACGACCACCAGTCGCGATGCCGTCGCTTCTCAAAACTAATCCTTGGACCTGGCCACGGGTGCGTCTCTGACTAGAACTTCGGGGCGAATCCTGCCGCGACCGCGAGGGCAACCCAGGAGGACCAGCCACGGACAAGACTCTGAGGGCGTCGTCATCGTCGTCGTCGTCGCCGCTGCCGTCGTCGGTGGCCGCCGTCGTCGCCGTAGTCGCTGTCGTCAGCGCCGCCGCTATCACCGTCGTTCTCCTCGTCGTCCGTCAGCGGCAACGCGAGGAAGGGGATAGCCCGATATATCTGGGATAACTGCGGTCCGGGGTAACTCCGGTGTGGGCCCCCGAGGCGCGAACCTGTAGCTTTCCTTTATTTGAGCCCGTCCTCCCACGGAGGGGACTTTGGACGAAAACTCGAAAATTACAAAACCATACACAAACATGGCAAAACAAATTCCCAAAACATCGTTCCCGAACAATTTTTCACTATGCTTGAACATTCTTCCTGTAGAGGGAAAAGGCCCGATTTCAGGCTGTCCCTGACCGCCCCCGGCCCTGATGCTTCGGAGTTGTGACGTCCGGTCGAACTCCGACCAGCGGCTGGCGGCGGCGGATCGCGCCCGTCGCCCCTCTCTTTCCCTCGGGGCTGGGGGTCGCCAGAGGGGGCCGGTGAGCACCCCGCCCCGCGGGCCCTCCTCGCGGCCCAGGCGGACGGGGGGGGGGGATGGCACAGGGCTGTGGATGCCATGACAATGGCCACCCTAACAATCCCATCATTGAATCATGTTCTTAAACAAGGTTTTTTTTACAAAAAACATGTGTAACACAGTTTGATATATGATGCAAGCGTTTTTCTAGCAATCTGGAACTTAATTGGCAACCTGCCCCCTCTTCATTGATCGTCGTCCACAAGAACAAGGCAGTGCTCGACCTAACTATGGATTTGTCCGTGGTCGTTATGTTTTCGTGTTTTGTCTCGTTCCGCCTTGGCTGCGGAACGAGATCACCACTTTTGACACCGGATGGCCTTAGACAGCTTGGGATCAGGACAGCAATCTGAGATAACACAAACTAGAAAAAGTAGCTTTCCCATATAGCTGAAAGCAGCTTCTAAATAGCCCCCGAAACGACGGGAACGCGCGCGCGAGATCGGCAACGTCGAACCCGCGGCGGCGACGCGCCGAATCAAACCACGGCCCCGCGCGCCAGTAAATCAACAAGGAATGCCGCGCGGGTTCTGCACGCGACGCCACGGCGATGGTGCCGGCGCGGTCTTGCACGCGACACACCCCAATGCCTCTTTCACCTTTCCCTCCTCGACCCCTTTCACCAGCCTTCCCCTTCCTCGTCCCGGCCCCTCCTGCTCCTTCTCCTCCTCCTCATCAACCTCCTCTTTCGCCCGACCTTCGCTCCCTCTACCCGTCGCGCGCCCATCTCGCCGTGCCGCGGCGGCGCCTTCTCCTGCCGCGAACCCCTCGGCCGCCGCTCCCGCCCCTTCCCCTTCGCCGTCGTTGTCTTCCTCCGCCGACCCCGCGCCCTCTTCCTCCCGCTCGCTGCTCGCCCGCTTCCCTCCTCCTCCCCCCCTTCCCCCGTCCTCCTCCTCCTCCTCCTCCTCCTCCTCCTCCTCTCTCTCTCCTCCTCCTCCTCCTCCTCCTCCTCCTCCTCCTCCCCTTCCTCCTCATCAGGCCCACCCGACCGGCCGCCGCGGGCCCGCGGGCGGGTCGCGGCGCCCCCCCCGGAGGGCCCCCAGGCCCGCCAGGGGGCCCCGAAATCGTTTTCTAAATTAGGCAAATAATTTCTCTCCGCCCCCACGCAAGGGCCCTGATTCACCCATCTTAACTGCGCGCTGGCCTGGCGGGCGGGGCCCCGCCACTTGCTCGTCCCCGAGAAAGAAGCTGCAACTGGCAGGAAGTGCCGCGCGCCATGGAGTCCGCGGGCCGCCGTGTAGACTACAAGAAGACGCCGGCGCTGCGACCCTGCATTGATGGCCCCCAACACTGCGCGCTTGTTTCGCGCAGCGCGGCCCCGCGCCTGCGAACCTCAAGCAATGCGGCGCAGCGCAACGCGCCAGGGATGGCCGCGGCAATGACGGTTGCAATGCGACACATTTGCAGCGCGCGTCCTGAACAACCCGCAAATTGACATCGAAATGTTATGTCTACGTTGGGAGACCTATTCCCTACTTGACACTACTTTGAAACTATTTGTTCCGGCTTAAATGGGCTACTTCCTGCTCGTTTCTATATTGGAATTATACTGGTTCCTACTTTCTTCTATCCCATATTGATCAACATGGCAGGTTGCTGTTTAAGGATTCGTTGTTCACAAATCACAACGCAAACGGCCCACGAAATCGCGAAGACGCCGTTTGGCCCGAGCCATGGCAGAGAACAAAGGGTCTGGATGCAGTTTTTCCGCAGACTCCGGCAAATTCACTTGCATGGGGCAAGATTAAGTCCGGCATGTCCCCTGGAGGCGGATTTTGAACGAAAAATGAATAAATAGTCAAATGGTAACCCAAAATGATCAAAAACAATTAAAAGATAGTCCCCAGACTATTTTTTCTATTTTTGAATACTCCTCCTCTAAAGGGAGAGGCCCAAGGAGAAGCGACACCGTCAGCACCCGCGCGAGGCGCCTGGGAAGGTCCTCGTGCTGGTGTGGTCCCCCCTTCCCGCCCCAGACTGACAGCCTACCAGACCACTCCAACCCAACCCGAAGACCCGAATTTCGCCCGAACTTCGGGCTGGGGGGATACGGGATTCATATTTTGTCCAATGTTCCCCGACCGCCCCCCCCCCCTCCACCAGAAATGGAAGGCAAATCGGGGCCTTCGGGTTGGGTTTGGGTGGCTTGGTGGACGGTGAGAGACGTCCCCCTATCCCCAGCTCGCGGCCCTGATGTGGCCCTGGTGATGGTGGTGGTGTCGTCCCGCCGGCGGAGCGGAACCCGGGTGCCATCCGCAGATTCCTGTCCCGCCCCTTTGGCTTAGGTCGCGCGCGTCCTCTTACAGGCGGGCTTCCGACGAAGAGTTAGCAATAGACAAACAATGCTCAAACATAGTCAGAAAATTGTAAAACAACAAAAAAAACTCGTCCCCAGACTATTGTTTCACTACTTGTGAATATTCCCCCTGCAGAGGGAAACAACCGACTGAACCCTTGGCTTAAGTCGGGCCTGTCCTCCTACAGGGGAATTTTCGACGGAAAGTAAACATATTCACAACATGCGCAACAAATTCGCAAAAAAATACTCAAACAGTAGTCCCCAGGCCATTGTTTAAAATGCTTTTGAATATTCCCCCTGCAGAGGGACACGCCCGACTTGACCGTTGGCCCAATCCCCCCTGTTTCGCCCGCCCCGAGCCTCGAGGGTTCGAGATTCGAGGATCTGGAGATCGAGGTTCGGGGTTCTGGGGTCGGCCTTTTGTCGTGCAGACGTCAGACTCGGGTACGTTAGAGGAAAGAAAACTATGCACATACACCGATTCTGGCCAGGCCCAACCCTGAGCCCAGGATCGGTGCATACGCCTCCTACCTTGGCCAGGAAGGTATATGCACCGATCCTGGGTCAAGGATGGGCGTTGTCAGGATCGGTGCATGTGCATAGTTCTCTTCGCTTGATGCGGGGGACTCGGGTTGGCCTGACGGGGCCACCATAAAAATGACGAGATCCAATCTCAAATTTGACGCGAGCTCCAGCTGCAAACATCCCACGAGAACTGGACCGTCAACATGCAGGACGCGCTCGTCAAAAAACGTCGGCGAACCCGAGTTCCGGCTTACTCGAGTCTTACGTTTCCCCCCTTTTGTGGGGTCGAGGTTCGATGACCGTGTTGTTTGCCTCTCTCTCTCTCTCTGTTCGCCTGCTTCCCAGCAAGCGCGCTCCGGAGTTGATAAAAGACCGCGGGCGCCGTCTAGCGCCCGCCGCGGAGCGCTGCTGGAGGCTCCCCCTTCGTGGCGCCGTCCGCCTCTCAGCGTCCGCTGATGGCGGCTTGCTCCAGCGCGGACTGGAGGGACAAATCAATCGACTCGGCGCCGATCAACGGGTTCTCCGGGTCTGTGTAGCGCCACTCGATCTTGAAGCCGCTGAGGAGGCTCGGGTCGACCTCACGTTACATTTGTGGGGGGCCTTGTCTTCACCCCTGGCCCGGCCAGGAGACACCAGAATCGAATCGATAAGTCGGATCGGCGATCGAGATAGCTCGGATCGGCGGAAATCGGCAGCCGAGTCGGAAAAAGTCGAATCGGCGGAAATCGGAAGGCTAGTATGCCTCCGATGAGAAGTCGGAACCCAAATCGGAATCCCAAGTCGAGACGAATCGGAATCGGAAGCCATCGAAATCAAATCGAATCGAATCGGAGGAATCGAAACGAGCCCTGCCCAAGACCATCCGAGGCCATTCCAGGCCAACCCCGAAACCATTCCGAGGCTATATCCGAAGCAGTTCGGAGGCGATCCAGGGCCACCTGGGAATCGAAAAAGGCCTCGAGAATCGGGGCAGAGGAAGTTCTCTGCAGATTCTACGCCGCCGCAGTTGACCTGCTGGATGAGTTTGATGTCGCGGACCCCGAGCTTATCCGCCATCTTCGCCTTGATCTTGTCGACCTGCTCGTCCGTGAGCTTCGCCGCCGAGAACACGGTGACGGGCTCGATGGACTCGCGCGCGTAGAGGAAGGACACGTACTCCTCGCAGATCGCCCTCAGCGACTTGAAGCGCCTCTTCTTGGCGAGGAACGTGACGAACTTGGGGAACACGGTGGACTCCCAGGGGCCCATAATTTCGACGGTGGCCGAGGCCTGTTCGAGTTCAGATGTGCCAGGCTGGTTGAGCGCCGTCGCCAGCTCGAACTGCATGTCGGCGGTCATCTTCTCCCTTAAGCGTTTGTACCTCATCACGTCCTTCGTGACGGCCACACTCTCGCCGGCATTGTTGGCCGCATCTATGAGCGCGTCCATGTACACCACCAGCGGGCCACGAGCAAATCCGCCACCAGCCGTGTTCGACGCTGCGCGCATGGCCACGTGGCCAGTACGAGGCGACATGCTCGGCCGGGGCGCGACGAACGCCTGCGAGAGCAAGTTCCATGCGCCGACCGCGGCGAGACAGACGGCCGCGCTGCGAATCGGAGCCATTGTCGCTGAAGCCTGGGCGGTGTGTCCCAGGCAAGGGGCAGGGCTGGCTCAAGTCTCGATCGGTGGCCGGAAACTTGAGCCAAAATGGCTATGGGTTCGAGGGTCGAGGTGTTGGGCATCGACGTCAGAGGGTCTGGGTTTGGAATATCGAGGTGTGAGGCATCGACGGCTCGAAGGAGGGAGGCTTTGGGGGATCGAACTTCGAGGAACGAAGGATCGGGGATCGAGGTTCGATGATCGGGAAGCCAGGAGGGCCCCGAGGCGGCCCCAGGAGGGCCCGGAAGGCTGGCAAGATGGCCTCCGGCCCAAGACGCATCCACGACGGCCCCGCAGCGGCCCACAAGAGCTCAAAGAACGGCCCAAAGAAGTCCCCCAGCCAGGCCCGGGAAGGCGCCAGAGGGGCACAGGGCCCCACTCTGCGGGCCCAACACGGCGGGCCAAAGAAACACACAAAAACACACACAAACAAACAAACACACACACACAAACAAACACACACACACACACAGCAAACAAATCAAAAAAACACGGCGGGTGTTTTTTTTTTTGTGTGTGTGTGTGTGTGTGTTTTGTGTGGTTTGTTGTTTTTTTTGTTTGTGTGTGTGTGTTTGTGTTGTTTTGTTGTGTTTTGTTTGTTGTTTGCCAGCGGCTCCGAAGATCTCGGCACATGAACACCTGAAGGCTTGAGACAGGATCCGCCACCGTGCCTGCACGGAGTGGGCGTTCCAGAATGCTCCTGTTGCCCCTCTGGAAGTGCTTCCCCTCCCCGATTCGCCTCCCCGATTCGCGCGCGCGCTCGCGTAGACCGCCTCCCCCCGATTTTTTTCCCCCGGCGCTCTCTTCGGCCTCCAGACGGCCAGGATTGCCTCCAGGGAGGCTTCCAAGACAGCCCAGACGACACCTCAGCGGCTCAAGATGGCCCAGGGCGGCTCAAGAGGCTGCCAAGACGGCCTCCAGACGGCCCACAAGGAACCAATGACGGCCCAAGAGGGCTCCAAAAAGGCCCTTCAGGAGAGCCCGAGGAGGCGAAATAGAGTGGTTGTCCTCGAGTTATTGCTCGATATTGCGGTCCTCGATCGTTGGGGCTTCCCATCGCCGAGTGCGGCCCAAGCGGCCTCCGAGATCGCTCCAGGACGGCCCCAGGGCCCCCCAAGAGGGCGCCGAGTCGGCCCAGGAGGACCCCAAGACCGCCCACGAGAATCCCACGTGGGCCCATCGGCGGCCCCAAAGCGCTCCAAGAAGGCACCAACACACGCCCCCGAGATGGCATCCGGAAGCGCCGGGCGAGCCAAGAGCTCCCTGCGACGGCCCACGAGTCCCCAAGGAGCCTCCGCGAGGCTCAGAGGGGGCCCCCAGGAGGGCCACCCAGAGACCCACTGAGGAGTCACAGGAAGCACCCAGGAGGTCCCAAGAAAGGAGCCCATGAGTCCTTTTCGTCCTCGTCTTCACATGGTCAATATCCTTTTTCTCCTCCTCCTCCTCCTCCTCCATATCGCGCGGACGAAGACGAGGTCGAGATCGCGACCCTTCCGAATTCAGACCACGGCTGAACTGCCCTGGGGTGTAAACTCAAAGACAAGAACGAATTCACGGCCCGTCCCAAATGAGAACAATCGTCGGAATTGCGCTGTTCCTACACTCGGTTTCCTTCCTGCTGCGCTGTTGTACAGGCGCGGTAGCGGGGCATGCCGAAACAGGCTGGATACCCCTGCCCTCCCCAAGAATGGGAAACTCGTTTTTTGTTGTTGCGCGGGTGTAGTGACGCATTGGGACCACAACAAAACGGGAAACGAATGTATTCCATCGCGGCGGACACCGCTGCCGATCGGGGGGATGGATGGATGGACAGCGCCTTGAAAGGTCGAGAGGTGACAGCACGAAAAGCATGTGGGGGGGATCGACCCGAGTTAAACCGCCCCTGAGGTCCTTGCCTCTTCTTTAGCTTTAATTCTGGCATCATGAGCCGCCATACGCTGCTCGTACGAGGGGCCGAGGGAGAGTCCGAAAACGCTCGCGGGACCGAGGTAACACACAGCTCGGGCTTATCGTCCGTATCACGAGCAACAACTAAGCGTGCTACAGGCAACGCCTTATCCAGCACTTCACGAATCTTGGGGTTAGGGCCAAGCCCCCGCCTGAAACGGCTGAGGACATCCAGTCCCTTACGCGTAGGCCTACCACAGACCTCAGCGAGCTTCACGGCTCTCCCTTGAGACCACCCCCCGCATTTTAAACGCAGAATCTGTTGCTCACGACAGGGCCCGAGGAAAGCCTCCGGCCGCGGAACCTCAAGAGCCGAGCCCGACACAGCGACGAGCTGATGCCCCAGGGGATCCCGCAGCAGCTTCTGGAGAGCAGGAGGCGGACCCCTGCAACCGAACATGGGCCTGTCGGGTCGATCACACACCGTCCAACAATACCTGCATTGCATCCCGAGATCTGTTCTCCTCCAGAGATGCCAGGTCTTCTGTTGGCGGCTCCTCCCCTGGGTGGTAAAAGCGGCCCTCTTCCAACGCACTTCGTTTTTAAAGAGGGGTAGAACTCCAGCAGCGAGCTTTATGAACGCATCAGCTCGCTTCTGAAACAACTCAGCACGGTCCAAAAACGTGGGCAGGGGCTGCGGGTGGCCCTCAAGGGCCTTCTTTGCGTGCTGATCCACAGCTCTATTCGCGAAACCAAACCTGCGATCGTCACCTTCCAACTCCTCGAGAGCATGCAACTCACGATGGGCCTTTACATGGAAGGTCGACAAGAACTCCGTGCCTGCTGGCTCATAGGCAGACCGCCTCGCACCAGCATGCTGATTGGAGCCAGCAAATTGCTTCCAAAAGGGCCTCTGGGTCTGACGCATCACAACTTTACAATCCAGGGCCAGGGAAGTCGGGCGATCAGCTACCTGCCCGACTAGGGCCGCCCCCGCACGTTCCGCCATCGCAGGGGTTTGGGGGAAACCACCAGGCACAATGCCCCTGAGGATGGCCAAGAGTGAGTCACTGCCTGGCTCCATGAGCGCGATCGCCCACGAAGCGCGGTGGAGACAGCGAAGGGCCTGCTTCGTGCAGCTCCCGTCCGACGCCATCTCCAAGTCCACAACGTCTCCTGCAAGCGTCGCAAGATCCTCAGGCTGCATATTCAAATCAGCTCCTGCACCGTCCAGGACATCACAGTGGGAGTGCGAGGCAGGAGGGGGCGCATCATCGTCGGAGAACGTGAAAAGCCCACGAGTGAACACAGGATCATCGCTGTGTGCCCCTTCCTCTAAACTTTCCGACGGGATCTCGAGCTCTCGTCGGGCCTCCACAACCTCTGGACGCTCGCAAGTGCACAGCCTATGGTGCAACGTGTCGCGCTGGCCGCACACACGCACACACATTCCATCTGTTAAGTAACCAGCATCACACGCACGAGATTCGGTCCAAATCGCATCCGTGGCGCAGGACAAAAGGAGGAACTGTTGCTGCCGAGTGTGCTGCTTGCTGCGCGTACACATGCAATTGCGCACAAGGTCGAAAGTAGCACGTATGCCCTGCACATGTCCAAGTTTGCGTGCAGAACGAAACTCAGCCTCGCGCTGCAAATCCTCCCTCAAAAGGTCGAGAAGGGGGCGAGGCGGCGTCCTGCTCATATCTACGGTGCACCCCCAATGGTCGATCCACTGCGTTCCTGACACCACTTTCCAGCCAGCGCGAAGAGCCGGCAAGGTGGCGCGAGACAAGGGGCCGCGGCTGGACCTCCAATATCCAGCCTCGCTGGCCTCGGCCTGCCCCCAAAGTTGAAGCAGCTCCTGGAAGGGAATCAGGGAACGGGTGGGATTGACCTGGGAATTCCAAAGCATTCGGCACCACTGAAGCGCAGGACCAACTGCTGCTCGAGTGTCCCACTCTCCATACACCACAAGCTTCGCAGTCGCACTTGTCCCTCCGTGAGACGGGGGCAACCTTCGAGCTTGAGTCCTTCGCGCAGTGTTAAGCTCAACTTCCGAGAACCCCAGCACCTCAGACCCGTGCGACGACGCAGGAGCAACGCCCGTGCGAAGGACCTGAGACAAACCTTTCTTGGCCTCCTCGTTAGGAGCTCGAGACTTAAACCTGCCAGGTCTTTTTTACTCTCAGCTTCATTCCCCAGAGGCGGGACCGCTGTTTTACACGCGCACGGGCAGACGAACGCTTTGCACCAGCGCTGTCATCAACTCCGAGATAAGTGACTGATTGCTTCACAACCTTGGGCTCATGCCCTAGGCCTCGCACGACGCCCCGTGCAAGTGAAACCTCGCTGGCGACAACGGCGACCTTATCGTTGATCACCGCATTGATCTGCTTACTCGCGTGATAAAAGGCACGGCCTGCAGAGATGGCAAGTTGCACTGCGCTCTCTCTCTCTCTCTCTCTCTCTCTCTCTCTCTCTCTCTCTCTCTGGGAACTGGATATCTGCATGCCCGAGTCGCCATATATAAGACGTGAAACGAACAAGAGGAGGCTGACCCGCAACAAGCTCATCAAACGCTTTAACTGCACGCACATCGATGCTGATATCATTGAAGCAGCCCCCAGCGGGTAAACCGAAATCAGCATGGGCGACCCCATCAGAGCGATGCTGCCTGAGACGCAACACCCGAGGAGCCCTCCACACATTGAAAACGAGTTTCAAAAATGCAGTGGGCACTTTGAGTTCGAGAAGCTTGCCCCGAAGCTCGAGAAGGGGAATCGTCTCATAGTACTTACTACACTCGGCAATTAGGAGTACACTGAAGCGGCTGGAGCTCACATCGGCCTACGCTCTCGCCGCTTGTGCCCGCGCACAGTCCACAGAACTCCTCCCCCGACTCGCCCCCCAGTACCCGCGCTCCACCTCCTCCAAGAGAGCACCTAGCATATGCCGCCTCAGCCTCTGCCAGATGCTGTACATACCGCTACAGAGCACGACAAGCCTGTGCCCTGTCGGTGGTTTCGGCAACATTGGCATTAGCACCCGCAACAGCTGTTTGGATAAGAGGCCGATCG